TATAAATTATTTATAAATACGTATGTCAAGTTATATTTTTATTACTACGTAAAATATATTTAAGAGTTTACGACCACTGTGCTGGGTGAGACGTTGTTGAAACAAAAAAAGTTATGCATTCCATCACGTACATAAACAGTGTCGTAATTCGCCAAGTGCAAATCAGCAAATTCGTAAAATTTTTGTTTATTTTAAACAATCCGGATAATTGAAAATCCGGATAATGGAGGTCCGGATAATGGAGGTTCTACTGTACATTAAATTTCTATATAGAAAAGCTTGAATATTATTGATAAATCATCCTACATAATTGTTTAAACAAAAATGTTTTGTATATTAATATAGTTCATAATCTATAAGGTTTATTTATGAAGTACATCCAATAATTCTTGAATTATACTTCTACAATCCAATGTTATGATCAATTAATTAAATAAAAAGTTATTTTAAAAGTGTTTTATAATTTTTAACTAAATTCTATTACTTCTATTAAATTACTAATTATTGAAATGTATATATAATTATAAAGTATGACTTCTAACAATAATTAATAAAAGCTTAAATTAATCTACTTACATCAAAATTTTCAAAACCAAAGATGTCCAGCACCCCCAGAAATCGTTCACTGTCTTGTCCAGGATTAGTACATGTATTGATATAATTTACAATCCATGCAAAACTTCTTGAATATAAAGCTTTTGCCATTGCATGCCTATTTTCTCTAGCCTAAATAACAATAAAAGAAAATTCTCTATAATGATCCACATTATTATATTCAATCATTCAATAACTTCATTGTAAAATTCTTGATTTAACAACATTCAAAATATGATTTATATACGTATTGTATAATGATGTTTTCAAATTCAAAAAATATTTCTCCCAAAATCATTTTAAAATGCAATATTTTACTTTTAGAATGTATATTAAATCAACCTGACAATCAGTAAAGTTTATGACAAATATTTTTAGGTATATATTGTAAATCATTTAAGAAATTACTAAATTCTCTCAAGATATCATCAATCTTGTAATTTTAAGAAATATCTTTCACATTAATAATAGTAATAATCTATAAATGTAAATAACCTGAATAATTCAATAATCCAAATAACTATTACCAATTACATAATTTGGTAACAGCTTAACCATCTACCTTTTGTATAGTTTGCTGATTGTATATAATTGTTGAGACGATTGAGGGGTCGAGACAATTGTATGTGGGCATGATTTACACACTTTTCCATTCACTTTTTCCCATTTAATAAAATAAAAAAATGTTCTTAAAAAATTTTGCTATGGTCTCCTTTACAATTCTCCTTTGATTGGTCTGTTTGAGAAGAGAGTCCAAAAATGATTAAATGTTATGGTGAATATATTCACTCAATCCCTTGGTGATTATCTTCTAAAGGATTGACGACCCTGGGGCTTGTTGGTAAGTACGAATTCGAACAGGTATGTGATGTTGAATGCTGTATTCTGTCACAGATGGACGTTCAATCACACAACACAGGGAACTTGGATTTAGCATATCCTGGTCGATCCCAGACAGGCCAAAATATGACAGATCTTGGAGAAAAGAATGAATCTTGGAGAGAGAACCTCATGTCCTTGAAACATGAGTTTTTAAAGGGTTTCTCTCCTCTATTACATGTTCCAATTAGTCTTCCCTCATCTCCCAGTGACAATGCAAAACCTTTTGTGGCATGGAAGAGTTCACTGTTGACACTTAACCTGATCCTGATCAGATAAAATTTCTCCAAACCTTGAAATTCTCCCCTATAATTCCACCCTTTAGTTTTTGTTTTTGACAGAAAGAAAACTTTTTATTGTCTTCATGAGACTAAGTTTTGTGTCAGGTTTTATTTTCAAAAGGTGAGAGTTTAACTGTCCCATTGGATATTCGTTAACTTTAACACAAAATTTGAAGTTCTGTCTGGGACTTCACACTTTGCAAAATCATTATTTTTATAAATTTTGGAATTATTTAATTGCTTTCCTACTATATCATAGAATACCTTCGGATTTTTTTACATTAGTTTAGTTCCATAAGCAAAGCAGATTACATTTTTGTAGTCTGACAAAAATAGAGTATCAGTCAATCCACTCCCACCTTTCAGTTCTCACAGTTGCAAAAGATCTTTCATTTATATAATGAATTATATATTACAAGGTAGCTATATTTTTATCTCATTATAATAAAATTTTATCCTATTACTACATCTTCATTACATTGTGGCCATCAGCCATAATATTGTATATTTGTATTTATTAATTTTAGTTAGTCTTAGCCTTTTCTTTGTTTCTTTGTTCTCTCTTCTCCTAAAACTTTCCAATGATCGTTATCGCCTTTGGGTAGGATTAGCCATTCTAAGAATCGGGGAAGATAATAGAAAGAGTGTGATCTGGGGAATAGCGGCCAAGAGATAAGACACTTTTTCAACTAGACATGGACAGAGTCAAACATGTTACAAGGAGCTCTGAACGAAGTTTTGTACAGAGGACAGAAGTTTGAGATAGTCCAGCGACGGATAGAGATAGAGAGTTTGAAGTAAGAGAGAACCTCGATAAGCGATAGAGAAAAGTGGATCTTGAAGATGGAAGTCACCATAATAGAACCCAGATCCTACCCAAAGTGCATATCAACCTAATATAGAGAAACCCTGGGTGTATCATCTCATTTCTTATTCCTTCCCACTATTCTATTCATTATTTCCTTAGTATTAAGTTAGATTTAAGTTAGAATTAAGTTAGGTTTAGTTATGTGCTTATTAGAAATTAATTGTTATGTGATCAGGAAAGATGCACCATCGTGCTTTGTTTGGAACAAAGAGTTCTTCGTGTAAATCACGCCAGATTGTAAATTATCATCAAATCAGTTGGGATTCCTTATATAAGCTTTTTGTTCAAAGTGAAATAAAGAGACTGTGAATATTGTTATAATTGTCGTAGAGTCCTTTCTGTACTTTTCATTCACAGACCATACTGTACCACTTTTACGAACACTACAACATTTCTCTAGGCAATGCTGAATACTTAGACTAAGTTTTTTTATAAGAAGTTTTTATAAGTTTTAAGAACATTTAAAATTATTTCTACTGTTATAATTTAATTATGCCCAAAACACCTTGTATTATAGAAATTTTTTGAAAATGTATGATTTGTATAAAAAATAAAGTCATTTAAATGCTATTTTTAAGAAGCATCAACCAAAATACTTTTACATCTCCATTTCAGTGAGAGTATATTTATTTATTTATTACTTAAGTATAATCTAGCACTTATTGAAAGATGTATTTTCTGTTTATTTAATAGTGTGATGAGGGCAAAAAAATGCTAATACATGTAATGAATTTTAAATACTGTAAATGGTTCTGGTACAATTGTAAGTCTTTTGGCAAGATGAAAGTATAAAAAACCTCCAGTTTAGAAATTTTTCATTATCAATTAACAAAAAGTTCATCGACCATTTAAAAAAAACCACATATGTAATTTAATTGTACATTAGAATTAGATTGTAAAAAAAAAATTATTGTTATTTAACTTATATAATAATTAAAATTTAAGATTAAGATTAAAATGTTTTGTAATAACATTGTTTCTTTAGATTTTTTAATTCTCTATGTTAAATTAAAAAACAATTTATTTACATGTTAGCTATACGAAAACAATATATAGAAGCTGTTGCTGTACTTGAAAGATTATTTCAAAATATAACATACAAAATGCCAATACAGTCGACCCCCCTATAACACGGGTTCATATAATGAGGATTCATATATCACGGCGAAAAAATTGCGACCATAAAGATGCTAAAAGAGACTTGTAAAATGTGGTAAAACGTCATCGCCGACTCGTGTTGCGACAGGATTGGTCGAATCTGGACCAATAGTGGACAAGCAACCGAACTATTACACGCTACAGAGAGTTTAGGTGGGTAAGTTGAGTTTACTATCGTCTGTACAGTATATATCAGGTCAGTCCATAAGTTCGTGCATATTTTTATCTACAAAAAAAGCAACAAAAAATTTTAATTAAATCATTAATATATTTGAGCTGTAATTGTTTGATTAGGTTCTAACAGCTCAAAATGAATTACACTTGACATATCCCACCAAACAGACAAAAGAATTTTTTTTGGATGCAACCCACCTTTTGCAGCCGATTTTGGCTGCTTGTCATGATCTGTCCATTGTCTTTTTCTCGTCACATTATTATAGAGGATCCATTTTTTGTCTCCAGTAACCAGCCGATCAAGAAAAGGTTCCAAAGTAATGCGGGATAAAAGAGACGTGCAAATGTTTACATGTTGTTGTC